GACCACAGGCGCCCGCCACAACACCCAGCTATTTTTGGTTGCAGCCATCATTGTTGTTTGGTGGGCCGGGGCTGGATTCGAACTTGCCACCTTAGGTGTATGTGGCTGGCACCTTAGCCACTTGAGCCACAGGCGCTGAGCCTACAAGCCCTTTTCTTTAACCTCTTCTCTATTTCCCTTTCTAACAAAAGCCCAACAAACAGGTATTTACTTTACTGTGCTTTTGCCACCACCTGCAATGGCCTTTCCTCTCTTTTCTGGTCATACAGCCAGACCAAGCTGAAATGCCACCTATCTACAAAGATTTCTCCCTATGCCCCATAGCCCACATCACGTAATTTTATTATTTTTTCTCCTATTTAAATCCCCAAGGAACTAGGCCTGGAAAGCAGGCATCTCATTCATCTCTCCAGTGGCAGTGCTTAGCAGAGACCCTGGTATACAGTAGGAGCTTACTCAGTGTTAAATGCAGTGTGAACAAATGGGAGGTATCTCCTTGCCAAGGCATCTTTCTAAAGAGCCATTATAAAGGCAGGATTTTGTCATTCACTATGGCTCAGGCTGGGGCTCCTGCTCATCCACTCCCACCCTGGGGTTCACTCAGAGGTACCACACCCATTTCTTCTCAGCAGCAAAACTTCAAACCCAGCAGTGATGGCTTCGCTACATCTCTAAAGGAAAGAGTCTAGATGGCCAATAATGGTCCCCTGGTTAAGCTAGTAGTAGGCTGAACCCAGACATGACTTGGAAAAGTCCCAGAAAGCTCCAAGTCACCACATCCTCAAAGAACACCCTCCCCACCATGGCAATCACAACCAGGGACAAGACACGAGTCTATCCAGGACCCTGACTCCTCCTGCCTAGCAACGCAGCAACTCCCATGACACTCTGTGCCTGACACAAAGCACATTTCAGAGAAGAATATCTATCCCTACTGTCCAGATTGTATTTTGAGATCTTGAACAAATGAAGCAGTGATGGAGCAGTGAGGCATGGGAGCCCAAGGGCAGGGCCTGGCCCGTCTCACTCAACTCTGCATCTCTGGTGCTGGCACCATGTGTGGCATGCAGGGGGCTCCAAGGAACTATTATTTAATTAACTAATTAATTAGTACTGAGCTGATAGATGGCTAGTGAAAGGAAACTGGAGCCAGAGGCATCTTTAAAAAGGTGCCCCATACTCTCTCTACACTGGATACCTATCTGAACTTTCTGTACTGTACATTGTGGACATGCATTATCTATTTTTAAAAAGAAAAAGAAAAAAACCAGCATGTGTAGAAGATCCCTTTAATGTTGAAAGAGAGAGAGAAGAAGAAGAAATTCTGTCTTGCTGGAAGGGTAATGAGTTTTCTCTGAGCAGTATAGGGTG